AAGATACCCCCCACTTTTCTAATCCAAAATTAAGAAATCTAACTGGGGCTTAGCAAGTGTAGGGGGGAAAGGGATCAAAGCACTGAAGGATCGCTTTGATCCCTGCTTCCCCCTCCACTCGTTTTTGTTCTCTCCTCAGCTTACTTCCGTGTGTAAGACGACCCTCATTTTTTAGTCTAAAGATTTTAGGCAAAAGTATAGTCTTATACGTGGAAAAATATGGTATTTCCCGGCTTCTCTGCAGTGGCGTTGCAAGCCGAGCCTAATTTAAACGGAAATCTGTTTCCTTAAAAATCGGAACGAAAAGGGCCCTTGATGGCAGGTAGCAACTCCTCCAGCACCTGTTTTTTTAGCAAGCGGGTGTTTTGTCAGAGAGCTAGGGGGAAAGTACCCTCCTTCAACAGATCTCTGGTTTGTGTTGGCCATCGCCAGCAGAAAGCAGATAATGTCTTCTTTCTGCTACCACACCTGAAAGGTCACTTTGTTCTCATGGTTCATAATATAGGCTCTCTCCCCCCCCCCGATGTTTCTGGAAGTTCCTATCCGAGCCCTTGATTAAAGGGGACGTTATTTCCCATCCCTGGTTGTGGTTTTGAACGGTTCAGGTACACTTGAAGACCGGCGCTCCCGGGAGGTCAAAACAGCCCGACAGCTTCAGGTAGCAGGTGGTACAACCCACCGGGTTCACTCAGTTGACCGGAGACAAAAGGATCAGTGTTTGGTTTCTGACAGCACAATCCAGGCGACTGAGGTTCTCGTTGTGTTCTTTATTTCTCAGAGTCTTGCATAACTCTTCTTAAACAGATCTGGTCAGCAGGCCTGTTCCTGTCAAAGAGATTGCTTGGTGGGAAATACAGAGTGATCACTAGGTACGATATGCTTTTAAAACACAGATGCATTAGGCAGGCCATATATATATATATATATACTGTATTTCTCCAAAAATAAAACAGGGTCTTATATTAATTTTTGCTCCAAAAAAATCACAGTAGAGCTTATTTTCAAGGATGTTTTATTTTTTCCATGTACAACCATCTACATTTATTCAAATACTGTCATGTCATCTTCTGATTGCTGCACAAAGGTGGAAGGCCGGGCTTCACTTAACTAGAGCTTATTTTTGGGGTAGGGCTTCTATGACGAGCATCCTTAAAAATCATACTAGGGCTTATTTTCAGGCTGGGTCTTATTTTTGGGGAAACAAGGTAGCAGAGAAGCCAAAACTCAGATGTGTGCATGTATCCTTTATCTCCAACAATTTTCCTTGAGCATCTCTCTCTCTCTCCCGCATACACACTTCTTTTGCTAGAAGAAAAGTGGTGAAACTGTTGTAAGTTTAAAAACAATACATTGTGAACCACCCAGGGAGTGGTGACGCTAATGGGGCGGTATAGAAATGGAAATAACTAAATAAAATAAGATGGAGCAGTACAAAGTTACAGCATGATAGAAATATATCAGCAGAAACAATATGTGTAGCAATAAAGCCTTAATTTATGACTTTACTTTTTGTGTCCAGCTGTTTCTCTAGTCAACTCAAGGTGGTGTACAGTACCTGGCTGTCTTTTTAGCCACATCATCCTTGCAGCAACCCAATCAAAGTAGGTCAAGGTGAGAGAGAGAGGGAAGCATCGAAGGTCACCCAGTGAGTTTCGTTGTTCAGTGGATAGTAGAACTTGTACCTTCTAAATCCCACTCATACGCTTGAGAACTTCCAGCACCCCAGAAGGTTAGCTTCCAAAGTTGAATTGATTTAAATCATGATTTAAATGGAACAATTGAACTGTTTACATTATTTTTTAAAAAATACAACAATATATAAATCACGATTTAAAATCAGTTTGTTTTTTGAAAAACCATCTGATTTTTATCCACCCTGTTGGTTTCTCTCTTCTCAGTCCAGGTTTTCACCATCAAATTAGGAGACTAGAGTTGGTGGGAAAAGATCAAGATCCTGCTTGTAATGGCTGAGAAAGCCCTGGATCCTAACCGTGGGGAAAGCTCAAAATCTGGGTCTGTCTGGCAAGCCAAGTGAGCAGGCCAGCTTGTCTGGGGGGAAAGCTGTCATTGAAAGCGCTTCTTAGAATCGTAGAGTGATGATGTTGGAAGGGGCCCATAAGGTCATCAAGTCCAACCCCCTGCTCAATGCAAGGATGCGTATCAAAGGATACCTACCAGGTGGTTGTCCAAGTTTCTCTTGAATGCCTCCAGCGTTGGAGCACTCTCAAGATCATTGGTTCCATTGTTGTACTGCTCTAACAGGAAGTTTTTCCCAATATTCAACCAAAATCTGGCTTCCTGTAACTTGAGCCCGTTTTTCCCTGTCCTGCACTCTGGGATGACCGAGGACAGATCTTGCCCTTCCTCTGTATTAACAGCCTTCCAAGTATTTGAAAAGTACTATCCTATCTCCCCTCAGTCTTCTTTTCTCAAGGCTAAACAGGCCCAGTTCTTTCAGTCTTTCCTCCTTAGTTGCTTTCTTGCAGGGAAGATAAAACGCAATGATTTTTTAAAAAGTCAGTTTGATTTAAATTAAGATTTTGGGATTCATACTCTTCTAGGCTTCTTCCAAATATGTGGGAGTTTACCTCATCAAAATGTGAATCGTCATTTAAATTTTTAAAATTGTAAATGTTTGCTTTAAATTATCAAAAGTATTTTAAAATTTTAATTGTGATTCAAATCAGTTTGATTTCAGTCAAATCTGCCGTGCACCTCGTGTCCAGTCTCTTGTTGCACATTCTTCAGATTTTTTTGGAAAAGCTGGAGAGGAATGTGTGAGACCTTTTCCAGAGATGGAGAATGTGGAACTGTCCAGATGTTGTGGACAACAGCTTCCATTATTTGCATGATTCTGCACCCCTTGGATGTTGTCACAGAGTCCCGTGCCAACCATTTTCCTGTTGTTTAGTAGAGGAAATTATACCATCTGTTAGGAAACCTCTGTTGCCACCCCTCCTCTCTCTTCTTTCCATGATTCCTGATCATTTTTTATTTGGATGGAGTCAGAAGCTGGCAGGAGGATGGCTTTTTAGCCATCAGGAAAAGCCCTGTTTTCAACTGGCCTATCCTGTGCTGTCATTTGATCCATATACAATTCAGATTTTTTTTGGGGGGGAAGTACCTCTTCCTTCCCTGAAGAACTCCTACACCTTAACCCACCAGGCAGAAACTCAACAGATAAAGCTTCTTACATACCTTTTACAATTTAAATAAAAAAAATTCCCCCTCTTAATTTAATTCAAATTGATTTTTTAAAAAATAATAATGATTTTTATCTGCCTGGAAGGCGAAAGTGTTTATAAAGCTTCTTACATACCTTTTACAGTTTAAATAAATAAAATTCCCCCCTCTTAATTTAAATCAAATTGATTTTTAAAAGAAATAATAATGATTTTTATCTGCCTGGAAGGCGAAAGTGTTTTGAACAGTTGTGTCTCTGGTGAGTGGTAATTGCATATGGGAGTTAATTCCATAACCAGGATGCTACCATCAAGAAGAAATGCCTGCCATTTATGCTACTTCTGGGCACCACAATATTACTTATTAAATGTTGTTCCCAGCTGGCTTTTAAGATGGCAGTTTTCCCAGTGATACTGGAAATAGTTCACTAGAACACATGGGACTGGGGCCAGCTGAAATCCCCTTAGTCCAAGACCCGTCTTCTCTCTTGACCTGTGGCACAGGCTGTTTCAGGATTATACCATTGACCTGTGATTTCACAAGCCTGTAGTCAAATTTTTTTTTCCAAATGCTGTTCATTGACCAGGGAGCAGAAATGTCAGACAAAGATTGTAATGAAGCATATGCAAAAGCAGAGTCAGCCTTTCTAAATGAGATTGGTTAAAGGATTAAATGTAAAATGTATTTGTGGAGACCTGTAGCAAAAGATGTTCACTTTGCAGCTGCCAGGTAACAGAAGGAATTGTGTCACATTAACAGTGTGATACCTAAAGCATCTGCCTGGAAACTTATAAAGGAGGGGAGATATTAATTCCTGTGTGGAATTGTGCTAAAAATGCAATAAAATGGAACTTACTGGAGAGTCTTAATCATCATCATTGTTGTTGTTTAGTCGCTTAGTCGTGTCCGACTCTTCGTGACCCCATGGACCAGAGCATACCAGGCCCTCCTGTCTTCCACTTCTTCCCATAGTTGGGTCAAATTCATGTTGGTTGCTTCGGCGACACTGTCCAACCATCTCATCCTCTGTCGTCCCCTTCTCCTCTTGCCTTCACACTTTCCCAACATCAGGGTCTTTTCCAGGGAGTCTTCTCCTGAGATGGCCAAAGTATTGGAGCCTCAGCTTCAGGATCTGTCCTTCCAGTGAGCACTCAGGGTCGATTTCCTTCAGAATGGATCGGTTTGTTCTCTTTGAATCCAGGGGACTCTAAAGAGGCTCCTCCAGCACCACAATTTAAAAGCATCATTATGGACTGTTAATTCTGACTTATAGTGATGTTTTCCAAGTAGAGAACACTCAGAAAGTGGTTTTCCACTCCCTTCTTCTGGGAATACCCTGGGACGGTGCTGCTTGCCGAAGGCCACACAGGATGACTTTACTTGCACAGTTGCCGTGAGGAATTGAACTCCCAACCTTTGGCTCCACAGCCGAATACCTAAACAGCTGAGGCTGTGAAATTGCTCAGTTGCTTGAGGAGGTGAAAAGAGTGGGTGATGCTTCCTTGCCTTCCTTCCACTCACCTGTGTCTTCTTTTCTCTCGTCCTCCAGAGATTTGATGGACTGTTAATTTTGACTTATAGTGACGTTTTCCAAGGTTTTCCAAGTAGATAACACTCAGAAAGTGGTTTTCCACTCCCTTCTTCTGGGAATATGGGAATACCCTGGGACTGTGCTGCTTGCCCAAGGCCACACAGGCTGGCTTTACCTGCACAGTCGCCGTGAGGAATAGAACTCCCAACCTTTGGCTTGACAGCCAAATACCTAAACAGCTGAGGCTGTGAAATTGCTTAGTTGCTTCTTTTCTCTCGTCCTCCAGAGATTTGAGAAGAAGTACAACGCTGAATTGAACTCCGGCACTGTCTCCAAAGGGACCACGTTTGAGTACGCCTGGTGCCTGGTCCGCAGCAAATACAACGAGGACATCAAGAAGGGCGTCGTTCTTCTGGAAGGTAAGCAAAAAACATGCTGAGCTGGAAGTGTGGCCTAATGGTTAAGAGTGTTGGATTGTGGCTTTGAGGATCTGGCTTCTAATTTCAGGGTGCTGGTTGGCTAGCCTTGGGCTGGCCACCTTCTTTCTCAGTTTGACCTGCATTTCAGGATTGTCGCGAGGGTGAGTGAGAAGAGGGGATCTCTGCATGGGCCCCAAGCACACGGAATAGATAGTGGCACAAAAATATATCTTAAGCCACCGCCTGAATTTCCCTTGTCCTGTGATCTTCCGGTGAGCTGTTCCATTCCATCACGAAGCAGATGTCTGAACAGCTCTGAAGGAAAATGGTTTTACAGGCAGGGTCCTGATTCTTGTGGGCTCAGCAGAAGGGTGGAGCAGAATGGTTGTTGCAGGGAACAAGCAGGCCACTGTGGGCAGGTGAGATAGGTTTGGGATTGTTACCAAAATCAGTTTACCCCAAACCATTACGTCCTATATTGGTTTCTCGGCAATGATGCCTTGAACTGCAGTTCTGGCAGATTGACCTCACAGGGTAGCTGTGCTGGTTGGAAAGGATGGGAATCATAGCCTAAGACATCTGGAGTGTCCCTGGGAGTAGAGTTTGATGCCTCTGGACCTCTCAGTGGAGGCGGTGGACTGTTCTGAAAAAAGCCCTCTCTGGGTTTTTCTGGTAGCAACTGGTATCCAGTGATATGCAGCCTCTGTATACGGAGGTCTATGTATCAAGCATGGCTGATAAACTTGTCTCCTCTTTCACAAATATGTCTGATCCCTTTCAGAACCATTTCCATGTGTTTTCCATCCTCTTGCTAGCCCTTCACGATGTCAATCAAGGACACTCACCAGTGATGGCTTGTGGGGGGATACAGGTGTATCTGGTTCAGATACTTCTGCTTTGAAACAGGCAATCAGAATCATTGAGTTGGAAAGGGCCTGTACGGCAGGAATCCAAGTTGAGGCTGATCCGGGTGATGGCTTTCCAATTTTCCCTTGAAGGCCTCCAGCGGTGGAGCGCTCACCACCTCCCAAGGTCATGGATTCCATTGTCGTACTGCTCTAACAGTTAAGAAGTTTTTCCTGATACTCAACTGAAATCTGGCTTCCTGTAGCTTGAGCCCATTATGATGTGTCCCGCATTCTGGGATGGTCCCGTTCCATCTTGGCATGACTACATCTTTTGTCTCTTCTAGACATTCCCATTGCCCGCCCCATTTCAATCCAGTGTGCAACCTCTTGGCCCAAGTATCTCTGTGCTTTTTGCATAGTAACTCTTTTGTGGCTGTTACTGTCTTGTGCATATCCTCTCTCTCTCTTACACATACACACACACACCTTTGACTTGCTTGAGGCCAAGACTCAAAATGCTTGATAGAATTTGGGTGCCAGGTGAGATGACTGTAGGTGTAAGTTTGTCCTTAGCATCTGTGCTCCATGAACTAACGGAGACAGGTAATGGGGGGGATGCTAGATGCCACTGTTTTTTTCTGTAAAGTTTTTCACATAGTTATTTTTTTTTAAAAAAAACTTACTTAACTCCCTTTTCTCTGCTTTCTTAGAACTGTTGCCGAAAGGGGGCAAAGAGGAACAGCGTGACTATGTCTTCTATCTTGGAGTAGGCAATTACCGGCTGAAGGTGAGCTTGCTGGTAATTTACCCACTCCACCTATCTGTTTTCCTTTTTCTGGCAGCAGCTCTGTGTGTGTGTGTTTGTGTGTGTATATTTGTGTTGGTGTGGACTACAACTCCCAGAACCCCTAGCCAGTGTGGCCACTGGCTGGAGGATTCTGGGAGCTGTTTGTGTTGGTTTGGACTACAACTCCCAGAACCCCTAGCCAGTGTGGCCACTGGCTGGAGGATTCTGGGAGCTGTAGTTAAAAAAAGAGTAGCTTTCCAAACTCTGAATTGACATGGATTTATTGCTGGACAAGCTTTTGTTTAACACCCCTGTTGTTCAACCAGCATTGTCTCCCAAAGAGCTTTGCAATTAAAACTCACACAAGATACATGTTAGAAGTTGAAAGTTCCAGGTTCTCTCCTGAAGAGGAGAACATTGGAACAGAGAGACAGAGATTTAAGAGCCGTTCTCCCCATCCGTAATCTTTTCCTGAGTGTCATCTAGCAAGTAGTGGTAGAACTTTTTCTAGATGACACTCAGGAAAAGATTATGGATTCTTTTCTTTCAGACTATGATTCCCAGAGTCTCCAGCCAGCATGGCCAAGCTAGCTTGGAGAATCTGGGAGTTTTGGTCTAAAAGAGTAACTCTTCCTTGGTGTGTCTTGAGTGCCTTTCAACACATAACCTTCTTCGCTGCTTCTCCTCAAGAGGACTGATTTGGCCAAGGGCTGCTGGATGTTGACCCCTAATTAGGACATTTATACAATGCCCTCTGCAAGTAGCTCCATATAACGTTCAATCTTCAGACTGAGAATTGTGGAGAAAAACTTGGCTCTAACAAGGATTTGGAAGGTCAGGCAGAAGCATTGTTGCATTAAATTCGCTCCCTGCCTCCCCAACTTCAAATTAATCACCACCTAGAAGATTTTGACAGCTTGGTTCCTATAGATCTGGAAATAAGACTTCTGCAGCCTGCAGACTTCTATTTTGAAGGCAGGCCACTGATGTGTTCTGCTTTGGCTGCTGTAGGGTTGATCTGGGGAGACGATGGAGCAGGATCCTAACTGTGTGAGTCTTCAATTATTCCCCCACCCCACCTGAGTATGTTTGATGGCACACCTAACTGTGTAAAAGTAGAGGTCAGATCCTCTGAGAGGATGAAAGTCCTGTGCCTCCCATTACCTTGGTCCTTCCTTATCTCTGGCAGCTAATCCTGGCTCTATAAACCTTCTTGAAAACAGGCGGTATCTGCCATGATCAATCCTGACCGGCCGTGTTATCTAAATATTTTATGGACTGTAAGACCAGCACTTCATAACTCCTCCGTTGTGAGATATGTGTGTGTGTGTGTGTGCAGAGAGAATTATGTAGATAAGGAGTTTGGACTGTGTGAAGGAGATGATGCTGGGATCACACCAGTGCAAACAAGGCGGACCTGATCTTACACGGCATAGCGAATGCAGACAAGCATGTGGCTTGCAGGGGTTGCAGCCTGAAGAGAGTTAGTTGGTAAGGGGAAGGGCCTCAGAGAGCCCTCTGTGTTTGCACCATGAGGTGTGCGCATAAGGTGTGCAGGAGATAAACCTTTGGATTTGCAGGTGAGAGATCCAGCTTTACATGTTGACCTTGAGCTAGAAGGGAGTAAGGGAGAGCTTGGTGTATAAGCCACTGTTTTTCTGAGGCAGTCTTGGCATGTGCCTGCGAGGCTGTAGACACGTCTTTGAGATACCACCAGAGATGGGCAGGAACCACCAATCATGCCGGCTCGTACGTCCTCCAAACAGGTGCTCCGTGCTTCCCAGCTTTGCCTCCTCCAGCGGATGTCCACCTAGGGGAAACACCCTGCCTTCCCTGCTCCACCGCCTCAAGGTGTGGCCTCTGAGTAGGTGCCTACGGGAAGAGGCAGGGCTGATAAGGGCCAAACACCCGTTCAAAGTACGAACCACCAAACTGGGTGGTTCACGCCCATCTCTAAGTACCCCTGCTTCCCTACAGAGGAAGTTCTACTGTTCACAAAAGCTGGCATACCCAAAACCCCTGAATCCCACCACTGCATACCTCCCTATTCACCTCTTTTCACCATACTTATAAAAGTGTCCGAAACACATCTATTCCTAGTCAGATCTTGCTACCAGTTAGCTTAACTGGGGGACCCACTCTGTGTTTTTCTGGAGTGAAGCTGTGACTCCTTTCCCCACCACTGGGATGCTGTCCTGACCCCAAATATATCCAGCCCCTCGCTGCTCCTTCTTGGATAATGGAACCCCCTGGTCATGCCACGTTTTCTCTCATAAGGCATTTGTTTAATCTCAGAGCCAATACCTTAGGAACTGGAACTGCCCAGGATATGGCCTCCAAACGTTTCTGTGGCTACTCTTCTCTTTGGCAGGAGTATGAGAAAGCGCTGAAGTACATTCGGGGGCTGTTAAAGACTGAACCAGGCAACACGCAGGCTTTGGAGCTGGAGAAACTCATCAACAAGGCGATGCAGAAAGGTCAGATGGCTTGGCTTGGCTGGGAGGTCAACCCCTTTCCCTCCCTGCCTTTTATCCTCCATTGAGACATAATGCTCCTGGTCCAAATAGAAACTGCCAGGGTGACCTTCGCAAACCAGACAGAGTTTGAGCCTCTAGTTCTGTAGCTTCCCTCCTAAGGGAGTATGGGAAACCATGGGTTAACAGAACATGTGCCCTGGAATAAGGAATGCAGGAGCACTCTGCCCATTCGTGATTCAAAAACTAGAGTTGGGACTGGATGGAGATGGGCATGAATCATGCTTCGGTGGTTTGGCAAGGTACCCGCAGAGTTGTTCAGTGGGTGCCATGTGCTTCCGCCCTCCTCTGCCATCTCTGGGCGATCATCCACTCACTGGCAGCAGTGCGCTTCCCTCCTCCAACTCCTCCAGCTGGCGCCCACTCAGACAAGGAGGCGGGGGGGGGAGCCCACGGCACCGCCTCTGAATGGCCGATCGCCCAGAGGAGGGAAGTGCACTATGGCTGGTGAGTGAGTGCACAGTAGAGGGAAGTGTGTTTAAATAGCAGTGCAGGCGCCATGCCGAACCACCGAGATGCGGTTTGTGCCCATCTCTAGACTGGGCTTGGTTTGTCTCTTCCATCAAGTCTTTCCACTCTGGGCTGCAAAAATGAGGCATGGCTTTTAAGGTTGCAGAAGGTAAAAGGCTTGAGAACGTCCATAGTCGAGCAACCCAACTTTTCAGGCTGAAATCCTACTGAGTAGCTTTGCTTGTGTAACTTGACATGACACCAGTGGTAGCTGTGATAGCATCAAAGCGGGCATGCTCGTTGCCACACTTTCACAGGCGCATGGCATGGTTGGTTGCGATGGGAACCACATGACTCCTTGTCCATTTGGCTCTCACAACCCCTGTTTCCGTCACATGGTGACATAATAGGATTTTGGCCTGTGTTACTTGCCCGTGTTTCTTAGCAAGGTTGCTGTTATAGAGGCATTCATAGCAGGTCCTTTAGTGTTGTAGTACCGACTCTAGAGTTTACCCTTCCTTCTAAATTTCATCAGGCTCCAGACATTTTTTGATTGAGACACACATTAAAAAGCTTGCCCTGCATCATCCACCCTACCAGCTGTTTAATGCATGTGTCAATTAATTGTATTTTGGTTATGTATGCCTGTTACATGTTGCTTTTGTACACTGCTTTGAAATGGATAAATTCAGTCCGATGATAGATATTGATGAATCCATAAGGCTCGGAAGCTAAAACCTTTCTCAGGATCAGGCCAGGGGAGGAGGGAGATAACTGGTCACCACGGCAACCCGGCAGAAGCAATTGTCCAGATTGCACCACCACCACCCCCCGATCAAGCGTAATGGACACTTTCAGGTGGGTGACACTTTCTTATTTTCTCCACAGATGGCCTGGTCGGGATGGCAATCGTCGGAGGCATGGCACTGGGTGCAGCCGGGCTGGCTGGCCTCATCGGCTTGGCCATCTCCAAAGCGAAATCCTAACTGGTGTAAGGGAGAGGCTTCCCTTCTCGGTCGGAGCAGCCTGGCCCGGCTGCTGTGACAGCCTGATCTGTTGGAGAAGCTGAGGGGTGATTAAAGAGAAAAAGAAAAGGAAAAAAAAACTAATTGAATTAATGCTAACCCAACTGGTTTCTGAGCTCCCTTTCTCTCCTCTTGCTGACTGACCGGAGTGGTCAGTGTTCAACCTCAGCTACGTGGTAGAAGACTGGACAGTAGGCGTTTGTGTGTGTGTGTGAGTGTTGGGGGAGATTATCCCTAGGGCGTAGTGCTCAAGCCTCTTGTTGTGTTAGCCAATTTAAAGCCCTTTGCCACAGGCTCCTATTTGCTTCTTCCACCGTGGGACAATAAGGCCATCAGCCCTCCCCTTTCCTCCAGTAGCCTTCGTTTCCTGTCTCTGAGTCTTGTCCAAATCGGAGGCTGAAAAGCCAAGGCATACATCTCATTTGGAGAAGCTTTCCAAGGGCTTGCCTCTTCTGAAAACAACAACAACACCACAGGATTCTTCTTAGGTGAGAACATGGGAATGGAGGAGCACCTTCAGAAAGTCCCAGTTTTCTTTGGAGTGGGGGTGTGTGTCTCTTCTCTGTCAGCAGACTGCACTTTCTTTGTCTTTCTCATGCCCAACTGCGCCTGTCCCTTGTCCTTGATTCATCCCCCACATGCCTGACACGAACACGTGTGCACGTAGCTTTTGCCTTCCCTTACACAATATCGTCTCACACTAGATCGCCTTTGGATTCCTGACAGTCTGCCTCCTCTTGACTTGCTGTGCAGAGTCTTCTAATTTCTCTCCCACCTTTCTTATAATTTTGTGGGGCCAGATGAAAGCAAGTATTGCTGACAGTAGCCGTTAGCTGGATCTGCCTGGTTTTAGAATGAATAAAGAAAGCAACTTGAGTTCATGGGGAAACACAGAAGAAAGGATGGATGTTTAAGCTGCCTTATATTGTACAACATCTGCTTCTGACATGTGATGGTGGGCGTTCGGGGTTCGCAATACTAGAAGCATCACTCACCCTCTTCCTTTCTGGTAACTCTGTCTCTGCTCACCTAACCGGTGCTTTCACATTGTTCTCCAGCCTCAACAGTTGTGAGGCAGGAATGTGAATAAACATTTAAGATACATGCGGGAATGGCTTTGGTATCTTGATTTCTGCTCGTTGAGATGATCAAGTGTTGAAATTCCACCAACTCTAGCCTCCAGATATTTATTGGTTTTATTTTATTTGTATCCTGCCGTTCCCCTGTGGGGGAAAAAAGCACACGAGCATAATTCGAACGGATTAAAAACAAATCAGACAACAAAAGCATGAACCATCCAGGCAGTTAAAATGACTCCAGGGGTCGGTGAAAAAGTTCAAAAGACCTGTTTGGAAAAAATGGTGGTTCATCCCTTTTATAAAAACGGCGAGAGCAAGAACTGGACATGGTTCTAAAGGGAGTACATCCCATAATTGGGGACGGGAACAGGAGAAGGTCCTCTGATGGGTATCCACCTGATGGGATTCCACCTCTTTCATGAAGATCTCAATGTCTGGCCTGGATATGAAGGTTAAAACCTAACACCATTAATTAGGCCCACAAGGTACTCAGCAAACAATGTGGATCTTCCAGTTAGGGGTGACATGATCCTGATACCACAAACTGGTTAGCAGCTTGGCTGCCGCATGATCTTCCCAACGAAGTGTCCTGGACAGTTTTTAAAGGGTACAGAGCCATCCTTGGGTTCCTGCAAGCAGTGGGTAAATGTTTATCTGTCCCTGGTTATTTGCCACGATCTCCCTCCAATAATCAACACCTGATCGCTTTCCTTGAACTCTGGATTCTTGGCACCAGCCCATGGCTTAAATTACTGTAAGATAGCCCGTGCCAAGCATGGCAGGCAACCAAAACAGATCTTAAAAGAAGGAACAGATGGCTAGTTTCGCAAGGTAGGGCTGAAATGGCAATACACCTGAAGCTGGAAGTGCCGGTTGTTAGCACTGACGTTGGCATCTCGGAAAATTCCTCGTGGCTCAATGAATGTCGAAGTCTCCGAAGTAGCCTTTGGACCGAGACGCACGCTGTCCCTGCCTTCCCGCATCCAGAGAGTAGGCGAGCTAATGCAAACACAGCAGTTCTTGGCTCGCGGGACTCTTTAGCTAGCATCAGTTGGAAAGCCCACCAGAAGTCTCCATTGTTTCAGGTCCTCTGTGATGCTTTTCCATTCAGAATTCTCTGGTCTGAAGCACATCGATCAGAGTGCCCCTTGGAAGTTCCACCAGTGTTCACTGTCATTGCACAAATCATGGCACCGAATTGCTGCCAGCATCACTGGTCGTGTGCCAGCTGCACAGCTTGGTGTGCAACCAGGAAGGGCATGTGGCAGCATGTTAATTAGCAGCAATTCACTGCCCTAGCTTATGCTGTCACCTTCATGCCCTTGTGCCACAGCACACTGTGCTGACCTGTGACTTGATTTCTGGCCAGAAAAGGGGGTAGGTGGCAATGTGCACCCTGCATAATTAAATTGTAAATTGACCAAAGAGTCCTTGCCGTGCTGTGGGGCTGATTTAGGTATTTGGCTGTGGAGCCAGAGGTTAAATGTTCGATTCCTCACTGTTCTTCTTGCAAATACAGTCAGCCTGTTTAACCTTGAGAAGGCTGCACAGCCATAGGTTACATCAGACCTAATTATACTGAGATTGCACTCCGTTTAATTAGGAGGACAATTATATAGTGGTACCTCGCTAGACGAAGATAATCTGTTCCACTGAAATCGCTGTTTAGCGAAATCATTGTCTAGTGAAAAGCAAATCATCATCTAGCAAAAATCAGTTTGCGAAGCAGGGACCAAACATTGTCCAGCGAAATTCCCCCATAGGAATCACTGTTTTGCGAATTGCTATAGCGATCGCAAAAAGTCAATGTCTAGCGAAAAAACTGTCATGCAGGGTAACTGTCTAGCGAGGCACCACTGTAGTCACCTTTAAAATAATTCCCCTTATGCTGTACTTCAGCAATGGCAGAGATCTGGTGGCTTAGATATTTCCTCTTTGACTGACTGCAATTCAACAAAGACTATTAAAACAGTCTTGGTTTACAAAGATGGTCTGGAAACTTTTTCCCCATAGCAAAGCGTCTGACTGACATGCACAGGTGTAGTTGATTCACATTCATTTACAGTGGGGTCTTGACTTAAGAATGGCTCGAGTTAAGAACATTTTGACTTAAGAACCACTCTCATAGGAAAATATTGACTTGACTTACATACTTAGATTTGAGTTAAGAACTGAAAAAAACCACGTGGGAGGCAGGGAAAGTGCAAAATTTGAACTTTCAGTTAACTGTTGGCCAGTGAAAAGGGTCCCTGTCTGCTTCCTCACTCCTCCCAGCGTTTTGAGAGTGGATTGGGAGTCTTCGGACTGCCTGGTACTGCCTGGACTGTATTTTCCCTGCCTTCCCTGAACCTTTCTTGACCTAAGAAAAAAAGAAGCAAAATAGCCCCCTCTAGTGGTCGAAGGCAGAATAGCAGCTTCCCATTAGTTTCTATGGACGGAAAAGAGCAGATACGGATCAAATGGTTTTCAATGCATTCCTATGGGAAATGCAGATTTGACCTGAGAACTTTTTGACTTGAGAACCGCCTTCCAATACGGATTAAGTTCTCAAGTCAAGACCCCACTGTAATGGAAATTTTAATGGGTAAAATTCTTCCTGGTCTCATAAATCTGTCACCAAGCTGATAATCAGCCGCTCACCCAGTGTTTTCATCTAACCAAATGCAGGTAAGGGGGGGGGGATATCCTGCTAAGAAGGAAATAACCTGGTCTCCAGCCTTTTCTTTAGCTAGGCACTTCAGTGCTGGAGATAATTCAAGAGAAAATTGAACAGCCCTCTGTCAGACCTCCTTTGATCTGGATTCCTGCATTGAGCTGCGGAATTGGACTTGATGGCCTAGGCCCCTTCCATGATTCTATGACTACAAAATTTTTTAAAATCAGTTCCCTTCTTATTTTCTTCTGACAATGAAACCTAGCTCAGCCAACCGTTAAGAGCTCGGTTTAATGGGATATTTCTTCTGTTATCCAGTGAGCTAGTGAATGGCTACTGTAAAATCCTGGATTGCAGGAAGAAGCATTTTATACATTACTGTTAATGCACAGCTTTTCAGAGTGTTCTTATGTCTTGGGGAAGAGAATCAAAAGCTGTTAACATCTCTGTCTTCTGTACACGCCATTCGCTCTGCTCATCTTTGCGACCTGTTTCCCCCAGACTTAACTCTAGTTATTCAGTAACATGAGCAGAAGAGTGATTAACACATCCTATTAGCATTGTCTTTGTGAACAGGGGTGGTGACATAACCTCCTTTCCTCACGGCCCCCCTCGGGCTTCATTTCCTCCTCCCTGAGCTTACCTGAGGTCCTTATGTATATCACTGCTCATTAAAGTCTTCTTTTGGTGACTTCAGGGTGCGTGACTCCCTACACAATGCAACAAAGTTGTGTGCATCCAAAGTTGCTGAACGAATCCTGGAGACGTCATTCTCATGGTGCATAGGTTAAGGTAAAGGTTCCCCTTGACAATTTTTGTCCAGTCGTGTTCAACTCTAGGGGGCAGTGCTCATCCCCGTTTCCAAGCCATAGAGCCAGCATTTTGTCCGAAGACAATCTTCCGTGGTCACATGGCCGGTGCGACTTAGACGCGGAACGCTGTTACCTTCCCACCGAGGTGGTCCCTATTAATCTACTCGCATTTGAATGCTTTCGAACCGCTAGGTTGGCGGGAGCTGGGACAAGCGATGGGCGCTCACTCCGTCGCGTGGATTTGATCTTACGACTGCTTGGTCTTCTGACCCTGCAGCACAGGCTTCTGCGGTTTAGCCTGCAGCGCCACCACGTCCCTCATGGTGCATATGGAGAGGCAAAGCAGTATTTCAGCCAGTGGATCTGAACTGCTGGTTCAAGATGAGGCCAGATATACAGACTCACACATATAGAGGGCCTTGTCTTGAATATGTCCAGAATTGGCAATTAAGACCCATTGGCTTTGCAAAAGACTTGTCAGAAGCAAAAACCTGAGAAAACTGCTGTGCTGATTTGGATCAGAATAGTTGCATTTTGGGGCTTTCTTTAGGGGCACGACTGTGGGACTGTCATGATGGCAGCTTGCAGTTCAAAAGTGACCACTGACTATCAGAGTAGTGAAGCGTGGACAAAATGTTGGCTTCCTAAAGTTACATCTATAGCCCCCATTTCTTGGCACAAGCCAGATGCATGATAGATTCTCTGACAGTCTCCAATCTGATCTGGCCAGGCCTGTATCTTCTCGAGATACATCTCCCGAGAATTCCTCACTCATAAGGAAATGTTTTAATTTAGTCATGTGTTTGTATTATCAATATGCTGCCTTTCTTCCCATAGGGGACCCATGAAGTTTTGCAAAGCTCTATTTATTTTATTTTAATAAAACGAGGATTACTGGAGTGTTGACTCAAGAATTCTGCTGTATGTACTTATTTTTCTGAACTCTTCAGTGGGCTGGGGAGGTCTTTCTCCCGTTACCTACCTAGTCAGTGGCAAGCCAAGCAAGGTCACTGATTTGCCTTTAAGTGATCTTGTGGACATCTCTTCATATGCAAGAAAACAAAGCTTAAAAAGAACTGGAAGAGATTGTTCTCTCTTGGATTACATTGTGGTAAGTAATAAGATTAAGTCTCAGAAGAAAAGATATGGGCTGGGAGGAATGTTCTTACGATAAGAATAGGGCAGTAGAGCAAAAGTAGAAAACTAGGTTATGTTTTCTTAAAACCCAGTGATGGAGCTGGGTGAGGTGTGGCTACTCCTTAAGAATAATATTTCTGATCTGACCACGGTGGCATGTATGTATGTATGTATGTATGTATGTATGTATGTATGTATGTATGTATGTATGTATGTATGTATGTATGTATGTATGTATGTATGTATGTATGTATGCATTACTCTGGGCGGCTAACATCAATCCAAATACAGTGGTGCCTCGCATAACGAGCACCCCGTAGAGTGATTAAATCGCTTAACGAGGGGCTCTGGGCCATTGCTGGAGCATTCGCTCAGCGATGGCCCCTATGGAGGTTTTTCGCATTGTGATATTCGCTAAGCGATTCGCTTAG